GGCATTCCCTAGTGAGAAAGGAGCTATCAGAGTCCACAGTGGCACAGCGCCAGATTCCATTTATCCTGTCTCACCTCCAGAAGACACTATGGATGTGCGGGCACCACAGGATCTTGACCTTCCCATGGATAATTCTGTCCCTGTAAACAGTCAGCAGGATCTCATACCTCCAGAAAACCTGAAATCAAAGAGACTGTCTCTCAGACTTCCACGTAATGGGCCCACAGATTGCAGTGAAGAAAGTGGCGATTTGGTATCCTGTGTTTCACTTTCCATCCAGCAACCAGCTTCTTTGTCGGGTGCTCCAGATGCACGTACTACTCAGAGACACCAAGTACTGAAGGATGATTCAACTAGACGTGAAGATTTAGCTACAGATTTAGGCTTGGCTGGAGCAAGCCTTGTTACAGGTTCTAAGAAGGAATTAAAGGAAAACGAGGGGCTGTCAGCTGAAGGGGAGACACCTCCAAAAGACTTTCAAATGAACTCTGAACAAGCTAAGCAACTTTTGGTCAGTGAGAGTCCAAGAGATGAAATAGATCCCACTCTTGCACCTGAATTATCAGGTATTTTAAATATTTGTTCAAAACTGAAAGATATTAGAAGGAAGTCTGCAGTTCTTTCTGTTTCTGAAACTGCTTTTTCTGACCCATTGCCCAAATCATCAATTCAGCCAGAGGATACCTTGGGGTTAGGAAAAAATACTCTAAATGAACAAAATAATTTGTTTTATACCAAAGAGCAGGAGAACACATGTCTTGAATCTGGAGCTGCTCCCATAGATGCAAATTCAGGCATGGCACTTAAGGATAAATATCAGCGAATAAATGTCCCTCTAGGTATCTTCCAGCCTAAATTACCGAACAGAAGAAATCCTTCTGCTTCTAGTGTGCAAGACATAAATGCAACATCTTCAGGCAAAGGAGAAGCACCAGTTTCAGCAGTAAGCGTAAATGCTGGTGAAACTCCAGGTAACAAGTCTCATAGGCAGAGCTTCAGCCCTTCTCAATTTATAGCGGAAGAATTTCTTCCTGTCTGCCTAGAAGAGATGGATTCAAATGAATCTGCAAGCTCTGAACTCGTGGGAAATGAGATGAGCAAAAAACAAACCTCCCACAATGAAAAGAACCAATTTGAAGAGACAAAAACTTGCAATAACACAAAAAGAGCTTTGGAACAAGGTGAGGAGGATGTTCAAAGTCCAAAGAAACTCAAGAGGGGTGAAACCTTGGATGGTGACGCTTCCCAAGACTTGCAGGTGAGCCTGATCTCTCATGGTAAGGATACAGTGAACACTAAGCGGACTCTTGTATAAATTGTTGGGGTGTGAGCAGACCTATTGGTAGGTTTTCTTGTTCTGTTCACCACCAGTTTTCTGTCATTTTGCTAGGTCGTCCCCTGTATTTTTCATCGTTTTGCCAAAGTAGAAAAATCAGGTTGATGTGTGCATGTCCTGAACCATGCAAAACAGACAGAATATGGGATATGTCAATCTTAAATAATTTTCTTCACAGTATCCTTTTAATCCTTTCTCGACTAAATAGTTTAGTTCGGAGGACTAAGAGTGTTTGCTAGCTGTTGCTTAGGTACAATGACAGAGTAAGGCTAAAAGCAATTATTTAAAATCCAAACGCGGTTGTTTAGTTTAAATTAGCTGTTTTTATAGACAGCACAAATTGCAGCTGAATCAAGAAAATCTGTGCAAATATGGAACATTAATCTGACCTTAAAAATAAGTTTGTACCTCATCAGTAGAAACTTTCTAGTTCCAAAAGCTGGAAGGGTGTGCAGTGGTGGCTACTGCTTTGACTGAGAGATGAATGCAGGATTTTGCAGCTTTACTTCCTGTCTGTCATGGTAGGAAATGGCTCAACTAGGCATACCCTGGTTTGTCATGCTGATTAGATATAAAAGGGGCCGATACTAAAAATGAAACAATTCTGAATGCCAAGAAACAGCTACAGTAAACTACTGATCGACTTATTCGTGTGTTGTTTCATATAACTCTGAATTTTTATTTTTAAACTTGCTAATGTAGGTTATTTTTGGCGCTGTGCCTCAAAGCCAAGTAGAAGTTCATGAAGGTGAAGATCCTCCAAACCTATCGGCTAAAAGCCCTGACTGTACTCATGCCAGCACCAGCAGCTCTCTGGATTCTGTTAAGGCTGACACAGAATTAACAAGTAAGACTTCCTTTGAGGTAATAGTCTCAAACCTGGTGTTCTTTACACTTAATCAAGGAAGGGCCCCACCCATAGTATGTATTTCATTTGGAAAAGGCCTGGAGTGCCCGTGTCGCAGCTTCCCAGCCAGGGTGCTTTTACGTTCTGGCTGAGAGTCCAAGCCATTCAAGGAAACCTGAGATGGGAAGAGAAAGGAGCAGAATTCAAGTACAGCTTTGTTTTCAAGGGCAAGGTGGGCTGATGAGGCAGATTAGTTACCTTAGCACAGAGCAAAGCCCCAGCTCAAACTCTGCTGGCCCAAAGATGCTTTTCAGCTGCTTCCATGCAGAATGATTCCGCCTCTCTCAGCACTGTGCTCTTGGAAAAAGACTCTCATAGAAAAGTGAACTCTGTCATTTCATTACTACTCTGACACAGATTTTGTTTTACATTAGATTCTTAATCTAGTCCTCCTTACTTGTCCCAAGTAGTTGTCTCCTCAGCTACTTCATTCAGCACCAGAAACATACATAAAGGTCAAACTCTACATTAAAATTGCTTTTTTTTTTCTAGAGCTAATGAGCCTAGGTTCCTATTTCCATAAGAATATTATTACCCCTAGAAATATCCCCCTGTTTTCTTTTTTTTGGCTAGTTCAGCGAAGCAGTCAGATGGAGTCTCAGCTTCTTACAGATAGCATTTGTGAAGATAACTTACGGGAGGTATGTAAATAGCTGAAAGATGCTAACTTCTCCTAACAGGAAAAATACTTGCATATATGCAAGTAAGTATTCTTGCTAGAAAAATGTACTTATCTGTGCTTTACTCCTAATTGTTACAGAAATTTGAGAAGGGTGTTATCACAGTTGGGGAGTTTTTAACGCTTCTCCAAGTCCATGTTCCGATTCAGAAGCCCCGTCATAGCCACCTTCCAGCCAATGTGAGTATCTGTCCTTTGACAGGCATAATATAATGCACCTTAAATTATATTCCTTTGTCTTTTTTTTAATATTTATCAGCTAACCTGTCTGTATTAAAGGCCTTCAATTGAGTTAAACCAGAAGTCAGTTCCACCTTGGCAAGTGGGTGGGTTAGACACTCATGCTTCCTCTTGTCTCTTTGCTTGTTCACCTCTGAGAAGTCTGATGCTTTTTTTTTAACCCTCAGTAGTGAAAAATAGAATAGACTTCAATCTCTTCACGAAATACTATATATTCAGGATTATCTGTTCTTGGATAAATATACTAATTCTTGCTTTTTTAACTTGTTTTAAGGATGGTAAGTTTGAAAGTAAGAATTAGAAGCTCAGTCTAACCTTTTCACTGTATTGTCTTGCTGTGTCCAGAATCCTGAAATGCCACTCTGCACTGCTACCTATCCTACCTGTTCTACTCTCTGCTTCATAAGTGCTTCACCATGACATCACTACTCTCTGTTTCTTCCCATTAAGCCTGTTCTGCTTGAACCCAGTTTCAGCATCCTCATCCTGAAAGGTTTCTGTTGAATTCTTGCAGGCATGGGAACAACTTTCTTTTTGCATGCAGACAGGTACCACTCATTGGTAGTAACTTGGTGCTGAACGAGGCAGTAATCTTGCTTTGCAACCCTCCTGAAAACAGGGCCTTGTAATTCGTTTTCAGTAAAGGCACCTCATTTTCATATAAGCTTTCTTAAGATTAGCATTTCAGACTTGGTTATTTGTACACATTCGTGTAGCCAGCTGAATTTCCAGCGGGATGCTGGGGCTGGTCTCTGTTATCTGGCTGGGTTTCGCAAATAATCTTTATAAGGAATGGCGCGTAGGGAATGAATTAGTGTGAATGAGCTGCTTAGTTTCTGTATGTGGGTATTATACTGACATGGAAAAGTTTCCAGTTTCATAGACAGAGAAAGTTTGTTTGTAAGATGGCAATGCTTAGCATTTATTTAATGAAGTAGATGGGGATTTAGTTCAAATACTTCCATTTCCTGCTGCTTGTGACAGTTTCTGCTGGCACAGCGAACAACGCACGGGGGCAATGGAAAAGCCATCCTGGAAAGTGGAAAACCGTAGCAGTGTCTGCATAATTTTGACACTGATTTGGGAATTTCTTCTCTGCCAGTCCTTATTCTAGAGTGCTGGAGAAGTTCTCAGCAGCATGTTCAGTGTTGAATCGGTTCTAATGAGCTTTGGTCTCCCTTCTTTCCAGTGGGGAGCGGGACACCTGTTTTGGTAGGAATTTTTAATCCGTCTTTGTAATAATAAGTGTAAGAGTGAAACAGTTACTATGTATGAAAAAGTGTGGTCAAGATCATATTCTTCACATGGAAAGAGGCATATTTGTGAAAATACTTGTGCAATTCATTCTAGTACGGCAGGTGAGTTGAAAACTGGCTCCTGTATAACCAAGGCTTACGGCTGTCAGATGTCACGTTGTCAGGGCAGATATGGCCGTAGGATATTCGCGTCAGAAATGTAGGTATCTCCTTGGAAATAAGGACTGCAGCTGCAACCTTTGTTTTGCTAGCTTGCAGAAAGCCAGTGCACACAGTTGGTTTGGTATGTTTGTGGGGCACACGTGGTGTTCTGCCTTGCTTCATTGGCTCACTGCTGCCTGAATAAAATTTCTGTGTGTCAGCTTAGCAAGAGCGAGTGAACAGTCTGTCCGTTTTAAAGTTCTTTAAAACTGTTATGATAAAAGAATGAAAATGGATTTAAAAGAATCACAGCTAAATTAATATAATTTGTATTGATTAAATTACTTCCTTTATGCCTTTTAAATATCTTCCATTTTTATTTAAAAAGCTGTACTATCTTAGTTACAGTTTAGTTTAAGCTTTCAGTTTGAAAATTTATTCATCCTGAGCTGTGTCTAAATATTCATCAGGCTTACAAAACTCTGATGCCATTCCTTAGTGACTGACCTCTCACAAAAACAAACACCACACCCCAAAAGCCCCTGAAAGGGGCTGGAATTAATGTCAGTTGTTGATGTGCTTCAATATATAGGGAGCTGGCTGAAATACCCCCATCATATTTATCTGATGTGCCTAAGACTTGCTGAAAATTGGGAACTTGGATCTTGAATAAAGCGTAGCTGTCTTGGTTTATTCTAGAGCACTCTTGTTACCTGGATAACATCTGCATGTTTTTCAAGTCTTCATCTAAAAGGAAGTTGACCTCTTTCAGTTTTGTTTTGAGCTGTAGCGATGGGGCATATGTCCCAAAAGGAAGTCCATGCTCGAACGTGGGATATAAAGGCAGGATGAGCTATCTAAGGTGATACGACTACCTTGTCTCAGAGTGAAACGGGACGAGTCCAGAATGAAAACAATTGTTTAAGTATGTCAGGCTGCCTCCATTAGGGTTTGGTTTTTTTTCTGTTCTGCAAAAATAAAGATTCTGGACGTTTTTCCGGTTTCTGCACATTAATTGATTGGACGTTACTGTTTCTGAAAAATGTGTCTTTTTTTCTTTTTCTTCACAATTTTTCCCTCTGTTTCTCCCCAGTGTGCAGTCAGTGCACCACCTACTCCAGAAGAGCTCCTTTACAGCCAATATATTTATCTCCCCAAGCTGCGTATTTATGAAGAAGATTGCCAGGCCCTTTCTCAGAAGATAGACGAGTAAGTGCTTATTCAGTCACAGGGTATATTAGTGGTTTTATTGTTTCAGCTCTGGTTGCATGCAAAGTGGCCTGAAGAAAGTTAATACATTACATATGGGAAAAATAAAAAATGATCGTTAACCTACTTTAACCTGGTAGCCAGTTTATTACAGATTTAACGGTAGAGGGCGAACTCTTGTGGAGGAGTTGTAGTTACGGAGATAACTGAAGTTTGACTTTCCTCAAGTAGTTTGTCTTTTACTAATCAAGTGTTTCTGTTGCACATCGGAGGAGTCGAGTAAAACTTTTTTAATTGTATCAAAGATGATCAAACATAGAAAGCAGAATCGTAGCAGGTTACAATCTGTTGTTTGTTCCAATCTTCCAGTGTTTATTAGATGGAAATACAGTTATCACAGTTTGTTTTCTTATCCGAAGGACACTTCTGGTCTGATTCATCATGCCTTTTACAACTTATGTGCAAAATCAAGTTTTCTGATAAAATTCAAAATCAGCAGTAAGATTTTTCACAGCCTCATTAGCACCACTTCCTGTTCCTTTGGCTCTCTTGCTCTCCACCTCCTGTTGAGACCTGCTCTCAACAAAAAGACTGTAGGAAATGAACTTTGTATTACCTGCTAGAGTCTAATAAACATGGCCCCCATTAAATCAGGCTTTAGAGGGTCTCCAAGATGTAGGACCCAACTAAATGAAAATATTTACATTTCCATGTTTAAATTAGAAAAGGGGAACGAATTGTATGAACACCAATGTGCTGCTTTATGTGCTCAGTGCAGTTGCAATAAGACTTTCTTTCAACGTTTTTTGCCCCCCATTTCAGGTTAAAACCGTACGTCAATGTCCAGGATCAGCTCCTGGTGAATGTGAACAGGAGTTTGTGGGAAGTCATGAGAACCTGCTCTGATGAAGAGGTAATACTGCATGAAGAGATAATGTTGTTTCTTATGTAATGAAGAAGTAAGGTTAATTTATGCATTCAAATAAGATAAGAACCAGAATGGTCACAGAATAACAGCAGGCAGGTAGGTAATACAAGGCAAAATATTTTCTGAGTGGAAAATTGCTCTGAGAACTTCCAGTATGTCAGAAGAATGCCAAGGATACGTGCCCTTTAAAATATATTAAAGGGAAGATGTTGCTATAGAACAGAAAAACTTGATAATTCAAGTTGATAATTCAGGTTAGTTGAGGAGAGAAAAGAGAAGAGAAACATTAGATGAGCCTAAGCAAGCAGTGCTATTTTGGAAAGAAGAAACGAACTGCTCTTACCTAGAGACTTTGTTGCTTCATTGGTGGAACCAAATTATCCCTTAACTGAAGTGCTTATTTAGTTCAGCAAGACATGAGATGTTTCAAGGCACATAATGAACAGAAAATATGTGTCATTACACAAAAATAAAACTTCCTACAGGATCTGGAGTGCAACAGTGTGTCACACGCCAAAACAAAAGATGAGGCCAGAGGGTGTTTAAAGGAGAACGCTAATGATAATGGGCACGAAAAAGCACGCCACAGACATCTGCATTTAAAAACCAGAAGCATTATAGAAGTATCCCGGCCAGAACTGAGAATGTAGATCAAGAGATTCTGTTTTCCATGGTTCTAAGGCCAAGAATAAAGGTTTATTCAATAAAAATAGTCAAAGTTGATAAAAGACAGTATTTTTCATAGTTCATAATGAGATTATGTAAGATATCACTGAGGCTAGGCTAACAACTAGATTCGGGAACAATTAAGAACAATGAAAGCACCTAGAACCCTTAGCTAAGAATAACAAATTTGAAAGCTGATTAAGCACATCTCTACACACTGCAGTTGGAATAATACCGCCTAGTGGGAACAGGCAGATGGCAAACACTGTAGAAACAAGCTTTTTGTACATTCCTCTGCAGCTTTTGGATTGACAGCTGTCAGAGAAAACACTGGACTGCACGATCTGTAGCTATGTTCTGTTAAAACAGGTTTTAAGTTTAGTTCTTGTGGTTTGGGTTGTGCCTGGGCAGTTTGTTAGCCTCCGTAACTGCAGTGGGGCAAGTGTTCTAACTACGTCTCCAGCAACTGAGGTGAGTGCCATCTGATGTACCTAGTGAAGGTGCTCTGGGTTACTTGTGTGGCTCCCTCTTTGAGCAGAGATCTCGCTGGATCTTTGCACAGCAAATCAGTTACTTTAGTAGGCAGCTGTACTTGAATTAACAAGGATTGCCCAGTCTGAAATTTGATTGTATTTGCAAGTGTCATGTGACACTGCTACTAGAGATACGGGATATCGGGAGGAGCAGAGAAGGGAGAAACAGTGTGAAGGTCGATCGAACAATCTTTTGATGCACATTCCCATTCACTTTCTCTTCTGTATTTTCCATTCATTGCAGCTGAAGAACTTTGGAGCAGAACTGAACAAAATGAAATCCTGTTTCATCAAGGAGAGTAAAATCTTGGCTCACAATGAGAAAGTGACGTTGTACACCAAATTGCTGCAGAGTGCACAGGTAATGTGTCACAAGGCTGCAGAGGTTTTTAAAAAGGGAACTTCTACCATATTTTATCCCTCTTTGATTGTCAAGTTTAGGAGCCTATCTACTGTGTGTGCATTCTCTTGAAAGTGTCCTTCTTATTAAATGTACTTCCCTTTTGTTTATATGCAAATGTCAAACATATTGGGACAGTGACTTTCTTGCACTTACACTACAGGAACCTTCTGCCTAAGGGTTTTGGCAATTAAAGTAACAGAGTATAAAAAATGGGAGTATTAAAGGAAATGCCATCAGAAATTAGCTCTTTGTAATGTAGTAATGTCAGTATTAGTAACTAACACGGAAATGCAGAAGAAATGCATTGTGATAGGTATTGGAAATTTGTACACGTTAAAAGCTCTAGGAATTTGTTTATTTCCATGTCTTATCCCTTCATAAGAAAAGTCACTAGGATGATACGTTGTTAGGTATCTAGTACTTTCTTACGCATGGCTATTGCCTGAATGTTTGCCAGTCTGCCTCTCCGTTCTAATGACAGGTTGTATCAGCTTCTTTAATTAGTTTCTTAGCCAGCAGAAGTCCAGGTGCTGGTCCCAGAAGTCAATTCAGCTTTTTAAAAAATGTCATTGACTTGAGTACAATTTTCCCATGGTAGGAGCAACAGGGAAAGCTGCAGTCAAGAATAGAAGAGGTGGATGAATTGCTCAAGGAGGCAGAGCGCTGTCTTGTTGCCCTAGAAGCAGGTATGTGTTTCCAAACCAGTGACCGATATGCTGATTTCTCTATTTTTCTGCAGAGCTGCTGTTCAAATGGTCAGTTCAAGAGTCTGTGTTTGGTGGTTGCTTGGAATTTTACAATTCCTTTGTTACAAGTATTTGTTAGGCCTAAATGCCTTTATTTGTGTCTGAAAACTTGTCTTGTGGGAATCGCTTACGCATCACTAGGAGTATATCTGCGCTGAGATACAGAATTATAATTGTAGCCTACGAACAGGTAACCGAGCTGGCCAAATCTGCTAGCGATGACAGTGCAGCTGCTGGCAGCACGCAGCTCGGGATGGCTGCGAAACCTGCCAGCGAGCCTGCAGGTAGGCGAGACTCAGCTTTGCGTGCCAGGATTGTGCTGCTTTCAGCATCGCAGCTGGATGGTTTAAAACTGCTTCGGCTGCGTTCACATGAGCTGCGGTCAGTACTTGGCATTGCTGCATAGCCATGCTCTGTGTATTTTCACTTCTTCCAGCTGAATTTTCTTCCAGTGCCTTGGGCAGAAATCAAATTGCACAGTAGCAGCTTTGAAACAGTGCAATAAAAGGAGTTTTCCTTGTTATCTGTATACTTTTTGAGAGGTTTGGTAGATACCCTGCTGGCTTTTTGTACATTTTTCTTTAGTTAGCTTTGAAATACTAAAATTTATAGAACCCACAGGCAAATAAAATGGAATGCAAGTACTGAATCTGGGCGTTCTGCAGAGACCTGATACCTCTTTCCCGTAGATTCTGACTCGGATGACTTGGAAGCAGACGGCAGTGATGGAATGGCAGAAGGCAAAAACCTAAAGAAAGGTAATGGTACCGGCGGAATGGCACTTTTTGGTTTGGATTTAAGTTCTGGAGAGGGTGATACGCAACGCCCGTCCTGATATATTAGTTCTGATATGGATGCAAACACTGCTGCTTTCTTTTCTGCACTGGCTATAGCTAATTACCTAGATGTTAGAGTACGAAAAGGACTGGTTTTCCCCTGGATAAGTGGAGTTTATAAGTTGGTACAGTGTGACTTGCAGAGTGTGTGCTGGCTATCATATTCAGCACTTCAGGTGTTCAGTGATCACTTGGTCTAGATTTCTTGACTGCATATCTGTATCCAGGTAGGAGTAACAGCCATCCAGCTGAGATCTTTCGTCTTGTTAAGAACAGCGACTGCACAGCAAGTTAGGGCTTTCTCTGCTGCTCTTTTCTCTCACAGCTTTTTTCCCTTTCTCTTAGAATTGAAAAGCCTCAAAGCCGAAGAAGAGGCACTTCAAAGGTAAGATGTCAAAGAGGATCTAAAGACCTGAAATAACATGTGAGCATTCAGGCTTTAGAGGGTTGGTGGTTTTTTAACCAGTGCGCCACGTATCATGGGGTTGGTTTATCTTTGCAGAGAACTGTCAGAACTGGAGACTGAGAATGAGCAAATGCTTGCTCAGATGAACCAGCTACAGGAAAAAGAAAAAAGCTGCCGGGAACTCCTGGAGACATACGAGTAAGGAAACGACCTTCAGGTTTCATTTTTATCAACTAGTTCTGGGGCTTCACGTTTGTATATAAACGTTTTTTGATTTTGTTTTTCCTTATTCGATTTGGGAAATCTTCGGATGCCCATCTCCTCGTGGCCTAGGATAAGCCATAAAGCCACGGTGAACTTCCGTGCGTGACGCCCTGTTTTTCTGTTAACAGCTTTGCAGCGATACTTTGCACTGTCTTGCAATATCCAGCTCTCCTCCAATTCCAAAATGAGCATTTATGTAAAATAAATACCATTATGCTTCCTTTCCCAACAGATTCTTACATTCTGTTGGAAAGTGAAAATTTCGTTGGTATGTTATGTGGTAATAGCTGCAAGCGCACTTAATACTCTCATCTTTGTCCTACAGATAATTGGGTTGGTTGGTTGGGTGAAACTTGGGGTGATGGTGTTTTTTCCTCTCCTTTTTAGCTTCACTGAGTGGGAGATTACTGAGTGGAGCGAACAGCAGGCAGTCTTTAGTTTTCTCTACGATTCTATTGAACTCATCATTGTGTTTGGACCCCCAATAGGTAAGTCGCAAAATGGGTACATTTCAGTTTTATGGATTGGAAATATTAAATAGTTACATAATAGAAACCTAAAGTTTCTGTATTTGTGAAGATCTGCTAAAAGGAAATAGAAAGTACACTACAGCGGGAGCCTGTAAGCTGAGAGAGGTGTCTTTGAACATGTTTGTCAGTGCTTTCTATGAAAATTTAGAAACGTGTGTAATGAATGGCTGTTTCTGCAGAGGGAGAGCTGTAACTCCAGAACCAAGTACGGAAATAACTACTGTTTGGGGTTCTTTCCTTTCCTTCTCAGATGGTGATGATTTCGGTGAAGATCCTTCCAGAAAGATAGTTAGCCTGAACTTTGAATCTCTCTTGGATGGTAAGATTTTTCGAGTAGCTTGAAAGTAGCTGCCCTGATAATCTGTTCTTGGGAAGACATCTGTAAATTTGTGGTTTATCTGCTGATGCATTACTATGTGACTTTGAAAAGACTTCTGGCAGCATGTTCTTCTTCTGCGTTACAGAGGAAGAAGCTCCACCCTCCTCATGTTTAGTCCAAAGACTCATCTTCCAGTTCATTGAAAGTCGGGGATGCTGGCAGGAACAGTGTCCCACACTGTGCTACTTGCCCCAGGTAATGTTCCAGGGAAGTCTCTAAGACTCTGGAAAAACACTGAATCTTTTCTGTCACAGAGAATAGCACTGAGAGAACAAAGGCATCTTAATGAATGCTTCATCAATGCAAATCAAAATCTGCTTCATGAATGTTCTGAGGTGCAAGGGGAAGTACCTGTCCCTGAAAGCAAGAGTCCTAAAAGCTGTGGTTTCTTCCTTGTTTGCTGCATTAATGTCTGCCTGTCTTGGTCCAAGATTTCTTAAAATCCTTTTTTTTTCTGCTAGTAGAAATTAAAAGAATTGAGCTGAATGCCATTCTGCTGTCTAAAGAAAGAATGGTTTAAATCGCCAAGCCAATCTTGGTGTTCCTGCATGGCTGCGTACCCCTGTTGACAAAGCTGAAGGGAGAAACTTAGGGCAAAGAATGCATATTTGTTGTTCTGCTTGTACAATTGCATTTTCACATCCAAATTGAGAGAGCAGCTAAACTACTTTTTTTTTTTTTTTAAATATACTTTCTAGGATAAACTGTGTTTTCAAGCGTCACGTAGTTGACCAGCCTGAGTGCCAAGTGATTGCTTTTCTGATTGTCCGCTTAGGTTCTTCAAGATGTCTCTTTGGTGGTGAGTCATTGCAAGATCTTAGGAGACGAGATTGAATTTCTGGAGAGATGGGGTGGAAAATTTAATCTTCTGAAGACAGAGATCAGTGACACAAAGTGAGTAACTTCAGATGGAGTTTACACCAGTCCTTCAGAGTGTGTCTCTAGGTAATAAGGAACAAAACACTGAAATACTTTCAATTTGGTTTTCTTGAAACGGATTTCATGCCACTATTTTTAACTACAATCTGATTTATTTTAATACGATTGCACTATAATATTCAAATACATGTAAATTAAGCTGCTTTTAAATTCATCCATTTCCTTACTATCATAGGACCTCTCCCTCCTTGCTGCTTTCTTCTTTGACTTGACTCTCTCACTTGAAGCTTTAGGCCCAAGCGTAGCAATGCAAAGGAAACAGAGCCCAGAGTTTACCTTTAGCTTACTGCTTTGTTTCTTTTAATCTTCTGTTTGCTTAAGCCGAGTAGAATCAGCCATTGAAGGATGGATGCCCTTAAACTAAAGTTTATTTTCTTTAGTTTTCATTTTCTCACACTAATTCCTGATTTTGTGGCATGTTCCAGTGGAACAAGATAACTACTACTTCACCTTATCCTCCTATTATTGATATATATCCTTAAGTAAGAATTGCCCCATTAACCTTGCTCTGCATGCCTTGATGCTGTTCCCATAGGTTATTCTAATTTTGTAGTACCCTTTGCAAGAGTGGTGTTCTACTACATGCCAAAAATCCCATAAAAGCTATATTTAGTTAAGTCAACAAAAGAGATCCAAGGGCAGCCTGTGCTCAGGAAGTTGCAAACTGTGGGAGATTTACCTGGAGAAGACCTGTATCATGCTTGTGGTAGTTTACACCATCCCAAAGCATCTGCTTCCTGGGCGTTGTGTCCTTGGTGATGGTCTTACCCATATTTACAAGAGAATTCAACTCCGGCCTTCCTGCACATTGTCATAGACAAGAGTCCTGTGCTAGACAGAAATTTGGCCGGATTTAAGTAGGGTTGGATTCATGAAACAATCTTAGAATTACGGCATTGGAGGTAAATCAGTCCTGCTTAAAACTTCAGCTACCTAGGAAGATTTTATGTTAACCAGAAAACGTTTTTTTTTATTGTTTTTTTATATTCTCCCATAATTTTTGAAAGGTTCTGTGAATTATGTGTGTGTTAACTTTTTTTCTGTGAGGATGGCTGGGGTTTTGTATTCTAACTCGGTGTCAGAGTGCTGACAGTATTAGAGTGAAAAGGTTCTTTTAACCTTATTTATGAAATTGCTGTTAGTCTATGCTGGAACTCTTTAGAAGTTACGGAGCTTCTTGCATCAATTACGACATTTATTTTTGCTTCTGGAACCGAAGTCAAAGGCAGTAGCAGTACATTTGCATATTTTGTGTTGATCTTTTTGTTTGTGTTTCTTTCGCATACAGAGTGAAGCTTTTGTTCTCCGCTTCCCCAGCTTTTGCCAAGTTTGAGTTGACCCTGTCTCTATCTGCCAACTACCCGTCTGCTCCGCTGCCTTTTACTGTCCAAAAAAAAATTGGGAATATTGGGTGAGTTGAACAGAAAGAACCATTCCCTACGACTTAAGTTTCAAAGCTAGGAATGGGGAATTAACCATTTCATATCCTCTCAAACACGTGTGATAATTTTGTCTTTCCCAGGGAGAAGGAGGTTTCTGCCGTTCTCTCCAGTGTACCGGTAGGTTACCACTATCTGCAGAGAATAGTCAGCTCCATTCATCAAAATTTGCTCCAGGATCCCAGATGATTCACTAGATCCACACGCAGGACTGAAGAAGTCAGACTGAATATTCTTTGATTTTAGTCTTGTGAGAATTCAAGCTGTCCCTCACCAGAATGGGAATGCTGTGAGCTGTTGGCTCTTTAGTAGTCTTGTCTCAATAACCAGTTGGCATCCAGGATGCTGTAGGCCACAAGTTCTTACAAAGAGCAGAGGGCTCTAAAGAGAAGGAATAATTTCTTATGGCTCTTATAAATCCAATCTGCATTTTGTCTTTTTTCAGTCACCGGTGGTCTTGGCCTGCTTGTATGGTCTTTCCTCGTATGGATGTGCTTCTGACATAGCCTGTTAATTTTGTTCTGGGTTGATTTTCAGAGCTCTTGTATAAAACAACGATGAGTGTTTTCTAAGTTAACACTATCATTACTAACACTCACACAACATATCGCATCACGTTTGATTTTTACCAGTTTCCTGGAACCCCTGCCAAAACACAGAAACTATAGTCCCGCTTCTGATTAACTAAGAAGCCTGACATAATTAACCAGGTGGCCCAAGTCAGAAGTGCTTTTGTCACGGAGAGTAAAGATCCCGGTGCTTGACCACAGACTCTGCGGTGCAACAGACTCAAGGCCGTCAGGATCCACCTGTGCGATCCCCTCCCACCAGACGTTTGTTCCGATACTCGGTGTCTTTGTGCAGCACAGGCTGCCTCCCGGTCCTGGTGCATTGTCTGAGTTTGTGCTGCGTTAGAATCCTAGTGCGGAGACGGGCGAGCGGAATTGAGGCGGTACCTGCAGTGTCGTCAGTGCAGTCTGGATTGCTTTTGTACACATCTGCATATTGTGCAGGTTGAGCTGTTGGAACTGATCTAACCCTGGCTGAGTTTACCGTGTAGAAGTGCCTACCACTTCGCAGCTGTCCACTCTGTAGGCAGATGCAAATATTTGTACCTCTGTAAAATATGCTAAATTTGAAAATGTTTTCGTGGTTTAAGTGTTTATATATTTTTTTTGTCTTTTTACAAATTTTCCTTCTATTTGGAAGGTGGAAGTTCATTAAACATTTGAATTATTGCTCCTCCTTCAAGTTGTGATTATTGGCTGCTCTGTTTAAACTTGTAACTGAAATTTTACCTACTACTATTGCAAGAAATTTGATAGCTATTTGGGAGGACTTTTCGTAACAGGAATTTGGTTGTTTGGGGTTTTTTTTCCCTTGTGTTTCTTACTGCTAGCTTTCTATGGCCTGGCTTTTGCAGAAGAATTTTTTTTTTTTTTTTAATTAGGAAAATAGTGCCTAAGTTGCCAATGACTTGGGTACTACACCTGGAATTACTTTTAGGTTTGCGAAGGTCGTTGTATCAGCGTTATTAACCCGCGGAGGGTGCTGCAGCAGTACTTCCTGAGCATTAGCCAGCCTGGGCTTTTCTGCCTGTCTGGTTTAGTTTTCTCTCAGCGTATTCACAAGCTAAAGAATCTGGTAACTGTGAAGACTGAAGTGAGTTTTGGTGGAGTTTATTATATTGCTCAGGATATTGAATGGAAGTAGAAGATGAAACAAAGCAAAACGAAGCCATGCGTTTGCAGGAGAAAAAGGGGGTTAGGCAGAAATTAAGCAGTTCCAGTTTTATATTTTAATGTATATTTGTATTTGACACTCTTATTTAAACTTCTCTCAGGGCATTAGGACTATCTGTCATCTGTAGGACTTGATGTATTACTGTTAATATCTTCACAGAGATAACATATTTACAAAACCTGTATTATTTTGCAAGCCAAATTTGATGAGAATGCCGTTATTAAAGCTTTTCGCACGCAGTGCTTATTGTAACCATTGCTCAATCATCAAGCTGGATGTGTAATATTGGAGATCTCATTTCCTTCAACAATCCACTGCAATTCATGGAGTAAACCTCAGATCGGAGCTCAAGTTGCGGCTTGTACCGCTTTCAGGGATGAGGAAAAAGGTAAGGTAGAGGAAATGAATTACATTTCAAGAATTCATTTACTTTTCTAGAAAAAAATGTATCGATGATGATACAAAGTGAGTAACTTCAGATGGAGTTCACACCAGTCCTTCAGAGAGCGTCTCTGAACGCTGTCGTGTTCTCATACTAACACAGCTGGGATGCTGTTTTGCCTATGGCTTTCTTTAATGATTAATTTACGGGTGTCAGTGCACACTGGTTTATTGCATTTAATTTAAAGCACTTCTTTTGGTACATTTGGAGATCATCCATGAGCATTCATGCCGTGGCATAAGTGTGAATTCCAGAGAATGTCCACCACATCCAAGTTCCAGTGTATTATGGGAAAAGAGTCCTTTATGGCCCTTCACTGTGGCTAACTTAAGACTGGTATCTTTCTGTATATATAAATGCAAAAGCCTCTTGTGATCTCTGTTTTGTCTTCTTAAATGCCTATTAAATTCTTTAGCTCATTGGCAAAAGGTTAAATAATGAGGATGCAAATTATTGTGCATTATTAGTAATACTTTGCTTTCATGTTCCCAACCTTAGTTTTCGTGGGAAACATTCCAAAATCTGGACAGAAGACAAAGGCTAGCGGAGAACACACCCATTTCAACATCTGGCAATGCTGTGAGGAAAGTCATGTCCCGACCTCCATCTCTGCTCACCGGCTCTTGCCCATGTGATGGAGGACAATTAACACAATAATTATGTGCACTGTGATGTGCATGGCCGTGCACCCTTGGGAGTGAAACGGGCTCCCCCCGCTCCCAGCTAGCTCGTCAGTGACATTGCTACGCAGAAAACGCGTTCGGTATTGTAACGGCTGCTCTCGTGCACCGCAAGAGCGTTCGCTGCTCCGCTGCGACTTTCCTGTAGCTCCTTTATTTTTCTGGAAATGCAGAGGAAATAGCGCAGACACAGCTTCTTACAGATGAAAAACGCATGAGGGGGCGAAACGTCCTCCC